GTGAGAGAGGAAAGAGTTGATAAGTGAAGTGAGAGGTAATAATAATAAGGTTGTGCGTGATAAAAGCTGGGTTGAGTATTGAAACGAGTGAAGTGGACAGGGGGGGGGGTTGAATAGTGAAGGGTGAAGGGTGAAGAGTGAAGGGTGAAGGAAGGGTGAAGGGGTGAGAGGGGGAGGGGAGGGGAGGGGGAAGGGAAGGGAAAGGGAAGATCAGTAACAGGTAATACATTAAAATGATGATGAAATGAGGTGAAAATAAAATGACGTGGAAATCTATGGAGAATTCATATGTAAGATCAATTGATCCGTGAATCAATCAATCAATCAATCGATCAATCAATTAATCAATTGAATCAAATATGAAAAAGTATAAGTTACCGGTATTCATGAATAATAAATAGACGAATAAAACATAAAAAATAAATAAATGTTCACGTAGCCAGGTATGAACTGTAAGATGCAAGAACAGAATTGAAATATAAGAATTGCGGCTGTGCGCATGCGAGATTGATTAGGATACCAAAGATGGAATAACTAAGGTTTTGGCTGTGGCTTTGCCTTTGGCTCTGGCTTCAGTGAGATGTCGATATATAGGGAGGGAGGTTCGGAGGTAGGTACAAGTAAGTTGACGAATGTTATATGTCATATGGAACCTGAGGTGGAAAGGTGGAAAGGTGGGAGGATATGTACAGAGTAGAGTACAATGCAACTTATTATAACTTATGTAACATCTACTCTGTAGGTAGGAAGTGGGAAGAAGATGGAAAGATTATAAATGATACAAATAAAAAGAAATAAAGGCGAGGCGCCCGTATAGGAAGAAAGATGTCTTTAAAGTGGCAAGTACTCTGCTGATTGGCGGTAACTTATGTGGTATGGATAATGAGAATTGCTCCAGCTAGACTCGAAAAGGTTTGTATGTATCTGCGTCTCTAGTACATAGTAGGGAAAATCGTCTTGTGTAAATCGCTTTTGAGAAGAGTTTACTACTGTATGTCCGGGTGTGCTAATTGTCTACGGTGTACAAAGGATGTTGGATTTTGCGCTTCAATTCGAAAAAAAGAATCCGATCCTCCGCTCGCTCAGATGTGACATTTCAATAATAATAATAATAATAATAATAATAACAATAACAATAACAATAACAATAATAATAATAATAATTGGCCGGGTGAGGTAGATGGATGGGAGGAGGTGAGAGGGTAAACATCGATCGCGATGAATGTCGAAAAGATGTACGAGAGGATAAAATAGAGGTACCTGGATACATGTGATGTGTGTCCTGTGTAATAAAGAGTGATGAGTACCCAGTATGTGATTGAAGAGGGGAGCATCTCGACATTCAGCTCATGGATTGTCAATGGGGTTGAGCCTGTACTCTGTATACTACCACTTACTACTAGCCAGTCAATGTGCCAGATGGAGAAATCTCTCAAGCTGCACAATGCGTGCCATGTGCATAATGCAGTGAGCCCAAGTGAGTCAATTTCCATCTCTCATTCTGGTCCTATGAGAATCTTCTGTCCGATGGACAATACAGTATCCTGTAAGATGGACCAGGGGGTTCAAGTTTCAAGTGCTGGATTTGGCGAAGATTCCATACAAGGCCATTCCCAGGTTTCCCAACTCGTGCAATATAAATCGAGCACAGTGCATTGCCTTGGTAATTCTGGTGACGAAACCAGCGTATCATAGAGGAGAAAATAATTATAGACTCGAACTTCCCCCCTTTTGATAAGAGCGATAAAGGGTAAAGCGAGAAAAGTGGTTGGGGAGAGCGTCTCGTGAAAAGTAACAATCAGAACAAGTGCGCGCAGGTGGCTGCTGCATTCTTTCTATATGGTTTACTCGTCAAGAAAGAAAAGAGAGATGGCATCATGGCAGCCATACAAAGTGGTGCTTTCTAAGGTTGCCTTCAAGATTCTGCTAGTTGACTTTAATACGGGGATTCTCAATTCTAACGTCTCCGAGGATGCATAACCTCCCAAATGTTGCATGTTGATTGGTACTTGGAACTGACTGGACCTAACTCTAAAGTGGCCGGACTCTCCCAATGACCTAATAAACATCGAATGATAGCAAGATGATCACGTGATATGTCTCAAACATCACAATTGTAGATGTGTGAAGTTTTTTCACCCCAAGAGATTCGCAAGATTGGGAATACCTACATATTCGTACAACTCGATCTGACTTGCCAAAATGCTTGTCATGTCACACCAAGTCCCTATTCTTTGAATATCTGCCAACAAATCGGTCCCCACTAAAAGGGGTTTTGGGAAAATGCAGGGGTCAATATTCCATATCCGAGATGTCAACAATCCAATTGCTTTCTCGTGTTTTTATCAAGAGCCTCACGTACGGAGCATTGCATGAGTTTACCTATCAACTAACGACAAGATGTCCAGCTATTTTTCTCGGATGACCTCATATCATCCATATCATCCGGTCGATATCAATCTTTCTGGAAAGTTTGTGGAAAATAGTTTCAGTCCATCCATCCTCATTGTCACCTTTGGAACAACGTGGGCTTTGGTGCTCGGCGCAACACTTTTTGTGGTGAGGAGATTTTATCCTAGGCTCAGCATAAAGGATCAAGGACTTGTGCTATGGTTTATCTTGAGTAAGCTCAACATACCTATCTATATCTCTGCAATGGATCCTAACATTTAAATAGCGGGGTCAATTCATATATTTTTCGAAGGATACTTCGTCTACAATCATGCTCGAATGGCAAGCAGGACAGATTTCTTTGGCCAACTATGGAAGGAATATGCTTTATCCGATTCGAGATATATGTCCTCGGATTCGTTTCTGTTGACCATAGAGACATGGACCGTTGTGCGTATGCCACAATCCGAATGCTGAAAGTAGAGTATGCTAATCATATTGGCAGATACTCTGGGGACCGCTATCTTACCTTACAGCCGTATACATCACCCAAAATTCACAATTTCGACACACTGTACAAGCACTCGTTTCAACAGGGGAACTTTATGGAAATTTACTGTACCTTGGCACTAGTCTACTTGATGAGTACACCACTGGCAAACGATACTACCGACCGGAACCATTATACTTTTGGGTATACTTTGTATTAATAAACTCAATCTGGTTGTTTGTTCCTGGCTGTAAGTATTAATCCTAATACCGACTCCATCCTCGCTAACAATTCATGTTCAGTTGCCCTCTACGACAGTGTTATGGCTTCCGCAAGATCCTTCGAGTATTCAGATCCACCCTATGCTGCAAAACGCACCAGAAAAGCCAAAGATGATGGAGGTAAAAAGGACAAGGAAAATCGCAAAGTTCCTGCCTCTCAAGAATCCGATACACGGTCGAGAAGGGGAAAGGCTAAATCATACAACGACGATTATTCGGGCTAGATTTGATTCATGGTGATATCGGCTGCTGATATGTTGGAACGATGTTCCGCCAGTCAAGAACATATACCCCGACACAATAGTTGTTGGATATGATCTATCATGCATCACGGAGTTGTAGATCAACAAGTTTCGGGTTTGGGGAGGGTGGAAATATTTGGACTGGATTCAGCAAACGCCGCTACGAAGTTATGATACCCTTTATTATGATTAATGAGTACATATCTTGAGATGGGATTTGGAATTGCCCAAATGAGTCAAAGAAATGTTACATTAACGATGAGCCTTCTACCTTGTATTGACTTTATATTTTATATTTAGAACAAAGTACTAGGTAAACGAGTATATGGATTTGAGCAACTAAGAATGTTTCGGATGACAGCAAGCCTTCCAAGTGCCGTCAAAAATTGTTCTGGAAATCCCAGAGATTACCTAGTACTTTGTACCGTCTTGGAGTACCATCAATGTCTTCAATTTCAATTTTCATCTCCAATCTCCAATTTCCTATGGGCCGAACTACCGATATGCTTCTCGTAGATTTAATCAAAGCTAAATTAAGCTTACTTGTTGTCCGACCAGAGATGAGATGTGATTGGCTGACACTTTTGTAGTTTACAAAACGGAATTATGTCTCCGAGTGTGATATTATGAGTTGCATTTGAGCGTTTTCCCAGGTGTGAGGGAAGTGAAGTGATGGCATTGTGAATGGAATAATTTCAGCTGATGCAGGCACCATCTGATTGATATATGAATGGAAAGACTCTTACGTAACCACCCCCTCTCTCCCTGAGTCTCTGTTCCAGAAGGATTTGGGGAATGCAGAAATAAGATTGTGTGAGGAAAGGAATTGGAATGTCTTTAGCTAGGTAGGATGCTGGTCACCCTGGGGAAAAGGGATCCCGAGGCCCATGAATGAATATCATTCGGATATGGATACCTCGATAGAGGTAGAGAGAGTATCCATGCCAATGAATTTAGATGATAGGCGGAGGGGTTCTTTAATGAGGTTATTTCGTGTTAGCGCGGACAGGATAGATAGACAGATACTCGATAGATGCTACGGCGTATATGTACCTAGGTACGAAGAAAGTTTAATCTTGTTACTCGGAAAGACTTCTAGACGGGGAAATTGACATAGAACCGATGGTTACGAGAGCATGTTGAGGGTTGATTGAAACTTGATATCAGAACAATCTACCAAAGATATTCATGATTCAAGCCGCCCTCCCACAGCATACCCAACGGTCAGATGGAACCCATACCGGTAGATGAGATTGAGTCAATGTATATATAAAAATATCTTGCAAGGGAATCGATTCGGTCAAGTGGGAGTACCTGAATCGCGGAAGCCTTGATAATAAGGTACTTTTTTATTTATATTAATTCATGACCACCACCACCACTACTACTACTACTACTACTACTACTACTACTGACCGTCGGGTCGAGCAAGACATCCAAAACATTTCAAGGTTGAATGAAACCTTTGGAGAGGAGCAACTTCATCAATTGCCCAACCGCTCATTCAAATTCGGATTCAATTGTGAAATCGGCTATCGATTCACAAATTCATAACTTCTTCACACCAAATCCATCATATTCTCTCATCTCAATCCTCTCTCAGTCCTCTCAGTCCTCTCAGTCCTCTCAGTCCTCTCAGTCCTCTCAGTCCTCTCAGTCCTCTAAGTCCTCTCAGTCCTCGCCCAATCTTCGCATTGTCTTTTCTCCCCTCAAACAAGCAACTACCAAACCATTCCAAAATTAATATATCTTCACCATTCATTTCATTTGCCCCCCAAAAGGAAAACTGCTGCAGTACTATCCGCTCATTAATGTAAAATCGGGTTCTTCCTCCGGCTTGAATAACTACTTTACTTGAATTTACTTTATTTTACTTTACTTTACTTTACTTCACCCTACTTCATTACCTACCCGTACCTACTACCTAGTACCTAGCACTTATATTGTAGTACCTCGCTCATCAAGTTGTACCACGATTCTATCCTATACCATTCTACTACGTAACTTCTTTCTCAGAAACACAACAGCCTTCACAACCTCCTCGTCCTCCTCCGCCTCCTCCTTCTTCTTCTTCGAAAAAGGTACACCCATTCAGCCGCTCGACTTTACTCACGTCACAATATTCCATTACGAATTCCAATTGATTTTCTATTTTTGAATCGGCTCCCTCTCCCATCTACACCGCCGACGTTTTTCTCCAAAAATCATCCTACCTACCTACCTACCTACCTACCGACCGACCTTCATATCCAGTATTTACTACTTGCCCAAGTGTCCTTCGATATCTTTCTTAACGCGAAACAAACAACTCAGTCCTTATCGAATCACACGAGCAGGACTCATTCAATACACATACTTGATGATCTAGACTTTCTCTTATTCAGATATAAGATAAATCACAATTTGGAATAATCGAGGTTCAAAAAGGGGAAAAAAAGGGAAAAAAAAGGAAAAAAAAAGGTCGCGAGATTAACATTTTTTGGCTTCTTCTTAATTCAATCGATGGTTATTGTTTCATGTTCTGCAGGCTGAATGTTCCTTGAACTTTGAGTCGCCAACACATGCGGAGGTCAATTGAGTGGAACCCTTGCTACTCGACAACGTCAGAATTTCAAGCAACTCTCCATAGAGAAGATACGAACCATACGAGCTTCAATCAATCTGCAAGGCCGAAGACGAATTTAACTATCATCAACGATTCCATTTCAATTATTCGCCCTGGCCACTGCGACTCGAAGTACTCGGCTTAAGCATTACTTCCAAATTAAAATATAATAGGGGGCTCGAACAAGGTCTGGAGATAGTTGTGGATAATAAACGTTGATCATCAAATAATGGGTCCTCAATCAGAGGCAGGCCCCTATGCCGAAGGCGAAAATTATGATCCTTCACATTCCGATGATGGGGGAAGACTTACAACTGAGAGGGATATCACAATGCGAGATCAACATCTTCCGAGGCCTAATGGCCCAGATAGGATGAATGCGTCTCCGGCAAACAGTGTGAGTGGCAGAGAAGGTCCTTTGAGAGAGGGGAGTCGCAGACCAAGCAATGAGCGCACACAATCACGAACGCGAACTGGGAGGACTGGCAGCGGATCTTTGAGATTGTGCAAGAAGTGCGGTGAACCTTTGACAGGTCAATTCGTACGTGCGCTTGGAGGTACATTCCATTTGGATTGTTTTAGATGTCGAGTAAGTCATTCCCATTATGCCATCGTCTAAGGGCGTTCAGTTTCTGACTTACATTTTGTAGGATTGCGGTCAAATAGTCGCATCAAAGTTCTTTCCGGTGGACGAAGAAAATGGCGAAGGACAATACCCCCTATGCGAGACTGATTACTTCCGACGTTTAGATTTAATCTGCCACCAATGTAATGGGGCACTACGAGGATCCTATATCACTGCCCTCGAGCGCAAATACCATATCGACCATTTCACTTGTTCAGTATGTCCAACAGTGTTCGGCGCACAAGATAGTTACTACGAGCACGATGGACAAGTTTACTGCCACTACCACTATTCGACACGATTCGCGCAACGATGTAATGGATGCCAAACAGCAATCTTGAAACAATTCGTCGAGATATTTCGAAATGGTCAAAATCAACATTGGCACCCTGAATGTTATATGATCCATAAATTCTGGAATGTGAGGTTGGCTTCCCCGCAAGATGTACAAGAAATTCAAGAGGAATCTGAAGATGCGACGAACGAGGAAGGTCGAAATAATGTGCGATTAGAAGAGGAGAGAATGGAAGAAAAGGTCTACAAAATTTGGAGTGTACTGTCGACATTCGAAGAGTCCTCCGCGGCTTGTATATCCGATATGCTTCTACATGTTAGTAACGGTGCATATATGGATGGTGTAATGGTGGCAAAGAAGTTCATATGGCACGTGGATATCCTTTTTTGTTCTGCAGATAAATTGGATGGCATAATGATGAGGGATGGCTCAAAGGGTTAGTATCTCAATAATCTATGTCCTCACTGTTTTTACTAATCTTGTCAGGGCTATCATATTCGCGCGAAGCAAAGTTGTTATGCAAGAAAATCGTAGCATTCTTCTCACTTCTGTCCAAAACTCAGGAGACGGGAGTTCGAAAACTTGGCGTCACGCAGGAACTTCTTGCCTTGGTTACTGGTTTGGCCCACTACCTGAAACTATTGATTCGTATCTGTCTTCAAGGCGCATTAAAGGTCGAACGAGATCAAAAAGATCCAGAAGGCCTTCACCAATTCCTCGATGACTTGGGTGATATGGATGCAATCAAGAATGATGACAGATCGTTAGAAGCTACCACCGGAACACCTGGACTTTCAGCTCCAAATTCGGATTCATGCATTAAATGTCAAAAGCCAATCGAGGATGAATGTGCTCGCTTCGAAGAAAGGAGATGTCATTTAACATGCCTGCAATGCTCTAATTGTGAGCGAGATCTTTCTCAGATCCTCGAGGACATCAGGTTTGATGATGTAGAACAACGGGTATACTGTTGTAATTGTCAAAGTCAGTCGTCAGACGTGGTATCAGGATTCGTGCGAGTGACGAGGTTGCAACAATATGTATTCCTTCTAAGAGTTGCTTTAGCTCGATTGCTCGAAATATTACGTACCAAGGGTACTCTGCCACATACTTCGGATGACCCCAACCTTAATGGCTACAATTCGAGTGAGGGTCATAAAGTACCCTCGGATGACGACCCTCCGATGTTGAGGTCTGAAGCTCGTTCAAAATCATTCGGTGGTCCAGTTGATGAAAACCCACGCGAATCATCCTACGAAAACACCTTGAATGACGTAAGGCGACTACGAAGTACTCGAATGGACAAACATCTGTCTTCTACCATCAAAAAAGCGAGAACGTCGCGGATAATGGATGGTGTCGACAATAGGAGGCCAGGTTCTGCAGGTGCTGATGGGTCACATTCGAGAAACAATGAATTCCAAATAGTGGAAGACCGTGATGGTAACGGCGAATCGAGAACGGAATTATTGTTCGGTCATCAAGACGCTCTTACCCTGGATGATATTCCTAGAATTGTGGCTGCTGAGCAAGCAAAGGAACAAAGACCAAATGCATATAAGCATGCCCGTCATGAGCTTTTCCGAACATCTATCACTGAACCTAAACTCATCAACGGTCATCAAAGGACTTTCTCTGCTGGTAATGACCTTGATGCACAAACACAACGTCAACAACAGAGAGGTGCTGGGAAGAAATATTTCTCGGAATTATCCGCGTTGGAATATTTTATCGTACGTCATGTTGCAGTTATCGCCATGCAACCCATGCTGGATGGCCACTTTACTATGGAAGAACTACTTAACCTAATCGAGACTAGAAAACCCACTTTCTGGGGTAAGATGGGTAAAGCTTTCAAGAATGATGGCAAGAAGACAGCCGTCAAGAAGAAGGGCGTCTTCGGGATACCACTTGATGTTATCGTCGAAAAGGATGGTGCCGAGTCGACAGATGGTGTTGGTCCTGGAGCTCTCAAGATTCCTGCTCTCGTCGATGATGCAATTGCTGCAATGAGAAAGATGGATCTTTCAGTTGAGGGTGTCTTCAGAAAGAATGGTAATATCAGAAAGCTTAATGAAACCGTTAAGGAAATCGATAGTGGAGGGTGTGATGCTGTAGATTTGAGTCGACAAAATGTCGTTCAAGTCGCTGCTCTACTCAAGAAATATCTCCGAGATTTACCGGATCCTTTATTGACGTTCAAGCTCCACAATTTATTCATCGCTTCGCAAAAGATTGCCGATGAAGATAAGAGGCGTCGAGTATTACATCTAACATGTTGTTTGCTTCCAAAGGTACACAGGGATTGTTTGGAAATTCTCTGTTCCTTCTTCAACTGGGTTGCATCTTTCCATCAAGTCGATGAAGAATCTGGATCAAAGATGGATACTCATAATCTTGCCACTGTCATCGCACCGAATATTATATACACGAATGCTAAATCTCCTGTCGATGATAATTTCCTTGCAATCGAGGTCGTTCACACACTCATTGAGTGTAACGAGCAAATGTGTGAAGTAAGTTTTTCCAGTTCACGTTCATGTTTTCTATGACTAACAATATAAAAAGGTGCCAGAAGATCTCCAATCAATATTGAATGACCCCGTTCTCTTCAATAACACATCCGATATCACAACCAAAGAAATTCTTAAACGCTATGGCGATATTAGTGCTTCCGGTGGTGCAAGACATACGGTCGAAACGACTGAAGCCACTGGTCATAGAGATGGGAATGGAAGACCGTTAGCTCCAATGGTCACGAGAGTAGATGTTGATCCGGCGAATAATGCTTGGCAAAAAGAAAGTTCTGTGAGGCATGTGCAGGATGCCCAGGTTGGCGGGCAAGGGAATCAGAATATGAACCCGAATCGAGAGTGGCAAGGTGGTGAAGGGGTAGAGTTGCAACATCCACCACAGATTTATAGAGAGGAAAGGACTAGGACGCCGGATTTGGGGAATATTAATGGACATGGGCATGGTGGGGAGAGGAGTGGGGATAGGGAAAGGGGGGATAGGAGGGAATATAGAAATTCTAATAGTGGGTGGGGACCAGGGAGACCGCCTCAGAATGGTGGGGTAGGAGTTACGGGAGCGGGATGAGTAAAGGGAAAGAGATGAATAAGATAGGAGATGAGGAGAGGTGGAGCTAAATGGGAAGAAAAGAGCATATGTGGAGGATCAATCATCTTTTTGGGATAATAAATAACATATCTTGATTAGAGATAAAGTTTTCGTGCTTTTGATGGATGGGACTTTGGGAAAAAGTGTAGGGAGAAAATGGGAGGTGGATTGGTGAATAAGTGATTAAGTGGATAGTAGGGATGAAAGAAGGGTGGATCTAGATGAACTACATCCATCACTTCTTGATTACCTAGATAATAATGAATGAGATACTTATGTTATATTTATATCTTACTTTTGTGAGTGAGTGAGTGAGTGAGTGTGTGTGTGTTTGGTTGTAATGTAATTTATATACATAGGTATGTATATTCTATACTAATAACTCTCAAATATTAAATCTCATATTGGATTTGTACTTATAAAGATCGTACTAGAGTATTCTTCTCCACTTTCATGTAGGAAATAGAAAATAAAAAATAGACCAGAGTAGAGAAGAAAAGGAGAGGGTAATAATAAGTGATAGACACGTGAGTGAGTGAGTAAGCGAGCAAACCATCAATGACATATATCATGCATTTCGTTTCCAGATGAATTTTTATAAATGCTCTTCTTATTAACGCTCTTCTTATTCTTTGTATAACATAATATAAACATAACATAAGATAACACAAACATAACATAAGATAAGATAATGTACACTGTGAATTTAATGCAGTGCAGCATGGCGTAATGAATATAATGTAATAAATATATATCCATCTTCGCTATCCTCCTCCTCTTTATCTGTATCTGTGTCCGCTTACTCTGTATTCTTCATTCTATATTCTTCGTTTCGTGGCTGGTTCGTTCGGTATGTGTTCTTCAAATCTACTCTTCTTATTCTCTTTATTCTTTTTCTTTAATTTTCCTCTTCCTCTTCCTCTTCCTCTTCCTCTGATTTCGTTTGCTTGATTTTGGAGTATGTATCTGTATCTGTATCTGTATCTGAATCGCTTTTCTCGATTTTGATTTCAATTTCGATTTCGGGTTTGGTGTTGGTGTTGGTTTTATTGACGATACAGTTGGCGATTAGCTTGAGGATTTGTTCGGCGATTTGGTTGGCGATTTGGTGCTTCTCCTTTTGTTGGTTCTGTCGATTCTTCTCCTCCTCCTTCTCCTCCTCCTTCTCCTCCGCACGAATACTCGCCAATACACTCTCTAATGACTGCCCCGGACTGTAAATTACCATTCGCATTACTAGTAGCCTGGGGGTTTTCGCTGCCTCTCCTTCTTTTTCTTTTTCTTCCTTTTCTCCTTCCTTTGCTACTTTAGATGATTTGGACTTTTTAGATGGATTCATTTTCGAGGGTCTGCATAGCCAGGGCTTAGATGTTAAGGGTCTGGTCATTGAGGGTTCGCTGTATGGACCTGCTAAAATGGGTTTTGCTTCTTCTTTTTCTCCTTCCCCTTCCCCTTCCCCTCCTTCTCCTTCCTTTGCTACTCCAGCCGATTTGGATGATCTAGATGGATTCATTTTCGAGGGTCTACATAGCCAGGGCTTAGATATTAAGGGTCTGGTCATCGAGGGTTCGCTATATGGACCTGCTAGAATGGGCTCTGCTTCTTGTTTTTCTTGTTCTTTTGGTGGCGGAGGTTGGGTTAAGTGTTTGTCTTTCGGGGGTGCGAAGGAGGGATTTTGGGGGGATTCTGTGAGGGGAGAGGGTTAGTATATATTTCCTGATATTAAAATCAAACCAAACCAAAGTAATAAGTAATAAAACATACCAGAAGACAAACCATAACCAGACGTATTCGCATCTCTCATCGTCCAAAAATGCGGATCCAACACATTAGATGTCTGAGTAACAGGTACCTCATCTCTCGACTCTTCATTCATAACCCTAATTTTGCGCGGTAGAAATAGAGAGAGAGCGAGTGCGCGATAACCCTCATAGGGTTTTGCTTCCTGTGGAGGAGGGAGAGTGGATATCCATTGGCGAATTCGCGCGCGTCGGGTGAGGCGTTCTGTGAAGGGGGAAGAGGGGGGAAGATTGGAGGAGAGGAGGGGTTTGGTGGGTTGGATGGGTTTGGTAGGAGTGATAGGAATTTCTTCTTCCTTTTCTTCTTCCTTTTCCTTTCTTTCTTTCATACGACGCATTCTGCGGCGCTGACGTATAGAGACGAACTTGCGTCGAAAAAGCATTTTTGGTGCAGGGAAGAGGTTATTGACCCATCGGAATTTAATCGCAGGGCGCTTCATGGGTTTTGTGGATTTGGAAGAGGGGGGAAGCTTGGAGGAGACGGTGGGTTTTATGGGAGTTTGTTCTTTTCCGTTCCCTTTTCCCCTTTCCTTATTACTTTCTGCAATAACGGGATCTTTGAGACGGAGATCCTCAAGAGATACTGGCCTGTTCGAGGTAAATTGACAGATCGCGCTGATTTGCGCGAGAACTTCATCTATTTTCGCAATTGTGCTGCTTATGTCATTCGCGACTGTGGTTGCATAGGTATCGGTAAAAGCGTCAGAGGGGTCTTCTTCCTGTTCATCTGCAGAAGTACGTGGGGCTTTTACTCCTGTAGAGAACTCAGAAATGGATGTAGAATCATCGAGATCGACTATCGGAGTATCCGGAACCGGTGTGAGAATGGCGCGGAGATGGATATTCAGTTGATCGAGTTTTGAGATTAGGTTGGTAATGTTTTTATTAAAGGTGGGTGTGGCCCCAGGAGTGTCGGTAGGGGTGATGTTGATTAGGTCTTCTCTTGGGAGGGCGCTGGATGAGCTGTTGAGTTGATCTGTGTCTGGAATTGCGACCTTTGGATCCGGTTTGATGGCGATTCCAGAGTCGGCTCTAAAGATGCCCATCTTTCTTTCTGCAGACTTTTCGGGGGGAGGCATTAAATGCATCGAATGACCATAGGATGGTGAGACCTGTACAGTAGAGGGATTGTGAGACGTAGAAGGTGTCATGGTTGAGAGAGATGATGACAGAATGTCAGGATTATTCATTTTTCTGAATGTTGAAATTTTGGTGATAGCACTATGATGTATAGAAAAATGAAATTAAATATGGGAGAAAGTATTCTTGCAAAAGGTGTTCAAAAGGATTCTTTTTCTACTAGGTAAACTAGCATTGAGTAATAGTAGGAACTATCTAAAAAGATACCAAGATGACAAAATTCCCTCTGACCAATAAAAATCGAATGAGGCCCAACTAAAAATCGATCGACAATTACTAAAGCCAATATAGCGCATGAGTGCTTGATTTTGTACAATAATTTGCAGCAAATCTGGGTTGTAAAGTGGTGATCGAGCCCGAGAAAGTCTAGAAGACGTTGAATCTTGGCCTATTCAATTTTGACAAGTCCCCCCTAGTGAATTTAGCGACAAGACTAAGTCGCTAGACTCTCCCACAAAGAGACCACATGTCATTTTCCCACGAACTCATCTAGAAAGCTTCCTTGAGAACGTTTATGTATTGAAATAATAAGAAAATGTGAATTGTATGTACAGCCGAGAATGACCCAGGGGAAGCTTCCGGTCACAGAATAGAAAGAACTATAAATGAAAGAATGATGATATTAGGCGCCAAATATTGAAGAGAGAAGTAGAGACATTGAGGAAAATGCGACTTCCGAGGTTAGGATCATGCCGGCAAAGACAGTATCTTCACGACGAAAATTACAGAGGAAGCAACAGATAAAAAGATGATGATAGAATGTTCAAAAAGAGAAAGAAGAACAAAGTAATATTGAACAATTACCCGGCCATATGGCTCCTACACCGACATGCAATTGCAGCAAGAAAAGTATGGACAGCTCAGACTTTGAAGGAAATATGAAATACAAGAGGAGCAGGCTTGGAATATCGGAGAGTTGAAACGTCGATGGATGCTGGGATGACTCCCTCATAGCTATAACGAAATCGTGTAGATCCGATCTTGCGAGGTGTGTATCCCTTCAAGAATTTTTTGTCCTATACCAATATTTCACATCTCATGCCGTATAACATGAGGCGCAATTCATTCTAGTAAATTTTGAGCCGCCACCATGATTCAAGGAATAGAGCCGCCTGGCTCTCTTTACTCTCGAATAATGTCAATGGACAGTCCTCAAGTTCGAAATTCTCCAGGAACTGAAACCCTATCTCGAGAGAGTTGAAGAATAAGGAATGAGAAGTAGTGTTCAGGTGGTGGATGAACGTGGAGCCCAAGGAAAAGTCGAAGACGGACGTAGGTGGGTCAAAGAAACGTTGGAGAATATTTGGAGGATAGAAAGGATCATACCGCTTAAGGAAAAGGGCTGTGGGAATAGAAGAGGTCAAGGGTCTATTTTATGGAGACGAAATGGCTGCAATTTTGAGGACTGTCGAAACCCTATTCAAGAAAGAAATAGGGCAGAAGGGCGCGAACCAGAGGAGTTCCATATCTCTCAAGAGTATAAGCACTCATAGTGGAGGAAAAGCTGAAAGCTTTAGGAAGGAAAGTTTGAAAGGTGAAATGAAGTGATTGATATAATAGATTGATGATGAACGGTTTATAATATATTTGAATATGAGGGCATAAATTTGGGGAGACAAACACATAGAAAAAATAAGCTTGGGATATTTTGTTAGATATAGCACTCTTCTGATACTCCGCGCCCCAGCCAAAAATTTCCTTGACTTCCACAAGTCCCATCAAACTCCATAACTGATATGATATCAAACCCTTTTTTTCACTCATCGATTCACATCGATTCACATTGAAACTCTCTCAAATCTTCTTGCTTCTCTTCTTTCCTCCAGCTGCCTTTTCTGCCCCAGAAGTCTCAACATCTCCACTACTCTCCTTCAATAATGCTGCCCATTTGTCATCCATACTCAGATCTGCTTGGCCTTCTTGCTCAACCTTTTTCTCATCCTTAACCACTCTCTTTTGATCGACAGCTCCAATCACTGAAATATTACTTGCCAACATCTCTTGATATGGCTGCACAATAAAATGACCTTTCACATCAAACCATTCTCTAAATGGTTTTCTTAAGGTTCTCTCCTCCTTTGGTTGTCCAGATCTACCTTTGGCCGCTTCATAAATCTTAAATGTTAAGTTATAAATTGGTTGATGTTTTTTGGTTTGAGTAGAGATTTCGATGATGTGTTTCTTGTCTGGAGATGTGCCGATATATATAATTCCCTTCTCGACATAGAATAACCAGAATGTAAGGAAGGTGTTGAGGATAAAGTAGATTCCAACTGCAATTGCTGTGAAGGACTTCGTAGGCTCAAAACCATAGGTGTAGTCCCAGTAAAAACAGGCACCGCAGACTAAGACAGATGTATAACCAATGGCCAGACGGGCATCGGAGAGAGTATGTGACTGGGTGAACTTGAGGGAGTTTAAGTAGGTGGGGAGAGCATCGTCGGAGGTGTTTTTGAGATCTAGAATTGATTGTTAGTATTGTAATATTTAAACAATTCTTGTAGATAGATGTATATACTGACCAGGGAGAGAATGCACAGATATCCTTTCTGAAGCCATGGTTGATTTTTGTTCTTTCTCAAAATTATGTGGAGGGGAAAGCTGTTGTCGCAATGTACACAAAGAGACCGTGTCTTGATGAAGCTCTACTCGCAAGGGTCCGAGGTTAGCGTGAAAGCCACATTTGATGTCAGATTCAACCACAGATCTAGATAGAATTCAACTCGCGACAACCCCTCATACATAATCTTCTTCAACGAGATAGAATAGGAAGATATCGCAAAGATGGCACAGGTTCCTGTGCAGACGATCCATAGGGATCCCCAGTTATTGTGAGCAAGTCGTCATTCTCCATATTGGATTGAGCTGATAAAGATGTAGCTACTGGATCTTGATACCTATTACCATTGTTATGGTATGTATTTCTTACTCCTCTGATATTCAATCTGCCGTCCTAACTCATTAATCAGATTTTGACTGGTATCCTTCGTCACTATGCTACCGTTCTTATGGCTACTACTCCTAAAAAGCAAGAGCTTCCAGCTATTCGCGAACAACGATCCTTACTTCGAGGTATCAACCTTCGCAACAACGCTCATGTTCTTACTCCCGCCTCTTTCCAACCACGCAGAGATTATATCGTACAAGCATTTGAAGAAGGAAAGTTCTTGAAGGAGCCAGATAAGAAGGGACAAGCAGCTCCAAATCCAATGACTGATCCAGCAGCTATGGAGGGAATGATGGGCATGATGAAGGGAAATATGTCTATGATGATCCCACAGACCTTGATTATGGGATGGATTAATGCATTTTTCAGTGGATTTGTTATTAGTGAGTTGCTTACTGGAAGTATTAGGCGGCTAGATGTACTAATATGAGACTTATAGTCAAATTGCCATTTCCATTGACGATTAAGTTCAAGAGTATGTTGCAAGCTGGAGTAGCTACCAGAGACATGGATCCACAATGGATGTCTTCCATTTCGTGGTATGTTCTTTGTATCTTTGGATTACAATCTGTATTCAACTATTTATTGGGAAGCGATAATGGTATGTTAATCCTCTACACGTGTGGTTATAAGAGGGGATACTAAGTAAACATAGCTGCAAGTCAAATGGCCCAACAAATGGGTCAAATGGGTCCAGGAGCAGGTGCACAAATGTTTGGACCAGGTGTAGACCCCGACAAGCAATTCCAAGGCGAGGCTGAGAATTTATCTGTCTTGGCTCACAAGAGTACATTAGAGGGTGTAGAAGAGAGATTATTGGAAAGTGTGAGGGTGTAAATCAAATAGTTGGACTAGAATCTCTGATTAGCAGAAGTGCTTCTTGTTAAAGTCAACGGTCCCTGGGCGTACACAATGCATACAAGGGATGACCTATAGCTCAAGTCAAGAAATTCACGCCTGCTGGGTACAGAAGGTATGAAAAACGGGCGCGAGTTAATCGCCTCATGCTACTTCATGTAAATGATAAGTGGTTAATTGTATAAATCTATCTTCAACGTCCACAGTTTCATTAGTGCGTCTTTAGTTGAAAAATAGGCGTCAGGTTTCTGTTATTTTCCGAACGTAGAGAAGGTCACATGAGTGACCCAGACGTTCCCCCCATCTTCGACTTCACTTTCCACTTTGAATTTAGAAGTCACGCAAGATCGTTACCTACACTTTTGACCGTGGGAGCTTTTCATTTTTAACTTCCATCTCTTCCATTCTCTATCCATCATCCTTCATTCTATCTCCATTATTACTTATCCATTGTCGTCCAATCTACAAATCTCATCTTGCGAATATTTGCATGGTAATTTATCATCCAAATCATGTATCGTTCTGCTTCATTGGATCTTCCCGATGACGGAATGAATATGCCTCCACCAAGTAGAACTGGAAGCAGATCTGCAAGCAGAAATGCGACGTCGCCAGTCCTTAAGCTATCTCGTCCTGCTGGAAATGGCTCAATTTTGCCAAAAACACCCACAGTCAGTATTGATGTCTTGATTTGATAGATTCAATGCTGACATCAAGGGTTCTAGCTGACTCCAACTCATAACAATTCAGTATTTGGTGATGTTGAGAAGGTTTCCAAATCTGCAGATTCCATAGTAAGCATTGAGCTTTTGATTCGGTGACTTCAAAGCTGACATTGCGCTTTCAGACTGTCAATATCAAACCAGTTGAACCAACTGAGGCCATTGAAAATGATTCTACTCCCAAGAGAAGAAGTAATGGGGTTGACATGCGCCCTAGCAAAAAGGCCTGCTTGCTTGCGTGGACTTTCTCGAATCACAATTAATAATTTATTATACGTACTAACGTCCGACTGCAGATCATTTTCCGAAACTGTGAAATTGATTGTTGGTACCAAAGATGAAACCAAGACGTTTGTTATTCATAAGGATCTGCTTTGTGCTGCAAGTCCCGTTTTTGAGACTGGCTTCAAACCTGTGTGGCAAAAGGGAGGAGATGCCATCATGGAGCTACCCGAAGACGATCCAATATATTTTGCGCTATTGGTCTAACGTGATTTATCAGTGTGCGGGTCATATCAGTGTGCGGGTCATTTTCACCTCAATTCACTCTATTCTCTTTCAATACGCGTTTTTATCAACAATCCACAATGGATTCGAATAATCAAGAAGCCCGTATACTCCTCGCTATCGAAGCTATTCAAAAAGACAAAAAAACAAGTATTCGAAAGGTTGCAAAGATATATAATATCTCGAATACAACACTACAGCGTAGAATTAATGGTATTACTTCTCGTTCCGAATATCGACCTAAATCTTATAATCTTTCAGAACTAGAAGAGAATATCATTTCTGAATATATAATTGATATGGATTTGAGAGGATTTCCACCTAAATTAAGAAATGTAGAAGATATGGCGAATCATATTCTTGAATCGAGGGGTGCAAAGCGCGTTGGGAAGCTCTGGGCGCATCGATTCGTAAAGCGTCGAATCGAATTAAAGACGCGTTTTAGTCGTGTTTATGACTTTCAAAGAGCTCTCTGCGAAGATCCTAAGCTTATTGAAGAGTGGTTTCGATTGGTTGCGAATATGCGAGCGAAATACAGCATTTTGGATGGCGATTTCTACAATTTCGATGAGACGGGCTTTATGATGGGTATAATATGCCCCGGAATGGTAGTAACTAGTGCTGAACGGAATGGCAGAAGCAAGGCAATACAACCAGGCAATAGAGAATGGGCTACAGCAATCATATGTGGCAATGGGGAGGGTGAAACTATACCCCCATTTCTAGTGGTTCAAGGACAGGTTCATCTTTCCAATTGGTATACCGAAACCGATTTTCCTGCGGATTGGGCTATTAAACCTACATCTAATGGATGGACAAACAATGAGACAGGTTTAGAATGGTTGAAACACTTCGACAAGCACACTAAGAACCGAAGAAAGGGCAGGTATCGAATGTTGGTACTAGACGGGCATGAAAGCCATGAATCAAGAGCTTTTCAAGCATATTGCAAAGAGAACGATATTATATGCTTAAGTCTACCACCGCATTCAAGTTATTTAACTCAACCACTTGATGTGGGCTGTTTTAGCAATCTGAAACGTTCATATGGTGGTCAAATTGATGGGTTTATCAAGGCACATATCAATCATATTTCGAAGGTTGAATTCTTTATAGCTTTTAAAGCTGCATATAAAGAATCAATCATCTCTCAGAATATGAAATCAGGATTTCGAGGAACAGGTTTAATACCATTTAACCCTGAAGCCGTACTTTCGAAGTTAGATATTCGAATTCGTACACCTACCCCTCCCTCTTTCGATCTAGATCAATGGATCTCTCAAACCCCTCACAACCCAACTGAAGCTCTTTCTCAATCAATTTTAGTGAAATCTCGAATAACCCGACATCAATCAAGCTCCCCTACACCTATATTTGAGACTGTACTAGCTCTAGCTAAAGGTACAGAGAGATTAGCTCATGAGAATACACTTTTGAATGCAGAGATTCGTACACTTCGAAAGGCAAATGAGGCATTAAGCAAGCGTCGACGCGCGAAAAAAACCCAATTACGTCAAGGAGGAGTACTTACTGGGCAAGAAGCTCTTGATATATTATCTCAACAAGAGGTTGATATTCAGATTCAACGCGACGAGCGTCAAAAAGGGAGGAATTCTAATGAAGAAGCATCTTCTAGTCGATGCTGTAGTAAATGCGGAAAGACCGGACATAATGCAAGAACTTGTCAAGATAATATAATAGATCCTAGATTATTATAATTTTCATAGTTTTAATCAATTGATTCAATGGTTGTTGAATAATATGAGTTTGAAAGAGTGAATTGAGGTGAAAATGACCCGCACACTGATATGACCCGCACACTGATAAATCACGTTATTGGATTTACAAGAATAAAATTGTCTATCCGCAAGGGTTCTCAGGATCACCAATGGGAGCACTAGCTGAGGTCTACCATTTGGCCGAAAAATATTTCATGCCACGACTCCAGAACGATCTTATTGATTCTTTGGTTTATGAGACTGTCACTAACAGCCGATTTTTCGTTCCATGTACTATAACTTCGATTTTCGATAAATCCCCACCAGCATCAAAGATTCGTCTTTTTGTGGTCAACTCTACTTTGGAAAACTGGGCTCTTGTTAAGCACATGGCTTGTGAGCCAGAAGATCTCTGCGTAGAGTTCCTTTTCAAAATATTCAGTGCTTTCGCTGAGGATCCGAGGGCAGGCTTGAAAGCCAATTTCTTAGATTCCGAGAGTCAGTATTGTGAGCTGTATCACATCCATGAGGCCGAAGAGGAAGGGAAGTGCAGATCTCTCAAACTCCCCGAGCACGTGGTGTCGGATTAAGTTGATTGAATGAGGTGGACATTTGCTTGAGATTCTCAGAACATTTGATTCGGCAGATCAACTATTCTTAACCATCACTACACTCCTTTGATTGAATTGGTGGGCATTTGCTTGGATTTCTCAGAACATGTACTTCACCAGATTAGCTATCTTTAACAATCGCTACACTTTGAGAGTTTTTACGCGGCCATGTACCCATAATCTTTGAATTGTCAGCATAATCTCCTCCCTTAATGCATCAATGAAGATGTGATGACTGCTCCCCAGATTTTATCTCCAATGGAAATGCCCAGTAAGTATCGACGAATGTTCCATAAATAAAACCTGACAATTTCAAGGCCTCGCAACTTGTTAACGCTCACTTGTCAAAACTTCTCTTTAAATCTAACAATTAAATGTTCCTTTAGACTTCAGAGTCTCTTCAATGATCTGACTCAAACCTGGCAAACAAATAACTGCTCCAATTTGTGTTTCTATGCTAGCTTTTTCTCTGAATCGCAAAGTAGATTGAGTATCATATTCACAGTATGGGATCGTTTCATTGAGTTTCATTGAAGATCCTTTTACTCTACCATTGTATGTACTCAGGTGTGCAACCTTAAGTACCTCTTTATATCTGCTATGATATTTGTAAGATATTATTTTCATTCTTAAAGAACAGTATGAGTGTGCCTATCATCCTCTTTGGCTGGCGCCTGGTTTGCTGTTCTCGGTAACGGTATGTCTGCCTGCCCCCCCCCCCCCCCCCTTTTTTTACTGGAATCTTTGAGTCTTTTTAATTTATCGGAGGCGGTACACTCGGATCATGGGACAGCAGGGACTATGTGATGAGAAAGTTTGGGGTTGAATTTATTTGTGATGGGGTTCCTAGGTATGGACATGAGGAGGGATCGAGAAAACGATTGGTTCGGAAACGAGGACTACGAGTGCTCAAGAAAAGTATGGCACATTTGAAGTATAAGTTTGCTTTGCAAGATGGGAGGTCTCGCTATGTTTCCTGTTATGATCACAAAAAATTCGAAGTCGGTGACGACTGGGAAGTCTAAATTGAAGGCTGCCGATAGCAACGTTTGAATTCTGCTTTGATAGACTCAGAGAAATGTACGAAATGAACACAGTAGTTTTGGTGGAAGTTACAATGGTTAGCTTTTATGTAATCTGACATTTAATACTTGAGCACAACCAACCACTCTTCGCGGAAGACCCTTTTCCATGCCTAAACTCCAAACACCTGATATCTTGATATTACTGCACATAGTGGCAATGAATCATGCCTTCTTTGACCTTTTCACAGGCTCGTAATCACTAACAATATCCTCCTCATCATCCCCACCCTCATCATCATCAGCTACGTCTCTGCTTCTCTTCAATCCCTTCATCTTTCTGGTTTGCAACTCCTTCAAGTCTTGTTTACCAAGATGTATTCTACCCATCTTATCACCAACAATATCCGTGGTGATGTTCTTCTTTGGTCTCTCTGCACTTCCTCTTGCCCTTCTCATTGCCTCCTTCATTATGCTCTCATCCGCTTCCTTGACTCTGCCAACTCTGAAGTCCACCCTTGGCCCCATCTCCTCAACTTCAACTCTCGGTAACTTCTGACCACTTTTCTTGGTCTTTATTAAGTATACTCTTAGATGAATCTTTGGTTTCTCCTCCTCTCCATCTACACTATCCCTGGCTGAGATGGAAACGATATATTGAAGACCCTCCACATCCACCTTGTCTGCTGGCTCTCCCTTAAAGAAGTCGAGGAACATCGATTTCGCAAGTGTATATTCGTCTGAAACAGGGCTCTCGAATGGAGTACCCGAGAACAAGATCATAGGCTTTAATCCAACGGCGCATTTCTTGTTCTTGAATTGACTCAAAGTCCTGAACGAATCCGCATCAAGATTCAACTCTAACAAATCCAAAACCTTATAATCGAACATTCTACAGAAAGTAATAGAATGTGGGCGTTTCTTAGATGAGGAGCCGAAAACTAAGAGTGAAGCATCGTTCTTCTCGGAGAAAAATTCAAGGGAAGAAGGATCGTCGAATGGATGAATACTATTCTTCTTGGTGAATTTCTTTGCGAGAGGTAAATGAAGGGTGTGAAGATCTGTGAGACAGTCTTGAGCAGGCTGCGAACATGTTGTATAACGGAGAAAGAGAGCGGTTTTTGGGTTCTCGACTGGCTTGGGTGCTTTTTTGGTGAGTGCGCGCTTGCTGCGAGCATTACGAGGTTTGCTAGTTGAATATGTTAATATTAAAAGACCAATTGGCATTGGAAGGAGAGATGAAAGTACTTACATTTGACGTAACATGATGAATTGATATTATGTGGTATTATGTGATTGTTTGAAGGGAATGAAGATATCAACAAATGCCTTCTTTACTTCTTCTCCAAGCTCGAACTTTTTTTTTGCGATCCGATAATAGATAAAGCACTAGCGCCGAAATTATTCCATGAGGCATGAATGTTTGAATGCCTGAATGCCTGAATCTCACATGTTAATAATTTCACCCTGCGGACCTGAGCGGACGCTAAATGAATCCCAGTAAAGTATGGATGAGAGAGTCTGTGGGGTAGCGAATGGATATCCGAATTCATGTTCATCCCCATAAACATGCCGAGCTTCATTCCTAAGTTTACTTTTTGCTTCATTGACTTTATTTCTTTGACAATACGTCTGCGATTTTAATACTGGATTGACAAGATACATATGAAGCTACAGAAATATTATTCGTCACTTGTTTCTTTCTCTTCTTCAAGAAAACTACTGGAATTGGAGAATTAAGTTACCGAGGTTCGTTTTTGTCCCGGTAAGATGGAGGGAAGAATTGCTGTCATAAAGGTAAACATCTACCGTTCCCATCATAACTTTCGCAGTATACTGATGCGAAAATATAGACAGCACTCGAGAGCTTTATTCTCGATCCCAAAAATGCCGAGTTCCTCGCTATTCTCAAAGCTGCTCGCAGCGGCGCTGTCTACGGTGCCAAAGTCAGATTTCCTCATGCATTGGTGTAGGTCCCCCCTTTTTGTTGCGCCTTTACCGATTCTTAGGCGCATAACTAACTAACTCTCATATTCTAGCATGATTTTTCTATTTAGATCTGGTACTGTCCGTGAAAAGATAGGGCTGATACTCCGCGCAACACGAACACATGCGCAAAATCTCGCGAAATATGCTACGATATATAAGACTACGATGTTAGCACTCAAATATTCAGGGGGCAATAAGGGGAAGGAGGGAAATTGGGATACATTCTTAGCAGGACTATTGGGTGGCTATGTGGTATTTGGAAGGAGGTCAAAGAAGGGACATGTTAGCAGTGTTAGCAAACAGATTGTGATATTCGGTATGTTTCTCTTTTCCAATCGATGCTTTGATAATGTACATTTGAAAGATATGCTAATGTATCGGTGCGCACAGTATTCGCACGAGTATGTTTGTCATTAGCACAATTAGCTGTTCTCCCTTCAGCAGGAATCATCCGAAACAAAGAGCTTGCAGATCGCATATCGAACGACGCATGGCCAGTATTTGCAGCACTGAGCTGGGGAAGTGTTATGTGGTTGTTTAGATGGTATCCGGAGACAGTGCAGAGCGGGTTAAGGAGTAGTATGGATTATATTTATGTGCAGAGCGATCATTGGGATAGTTTGAGGAACTTTATCATACATAACAAATAAAGGGTTTCGGCAAGACGAAAGGGCCAGATGTCTACAAACGAGAAATAAATCGTTTAGTATGAAGGTCGAGGATGTATAGGAAAGCGTATAAGATAATGGTTATAGGAGCAAGCGAGCAGGTCATAGATTGGAGATTGTTTGTTTGCACATTATACCATTATTAGTATTCATGGGACAAAAACCTGGTGTAGAATTAGATTGTCCCGTGGGTTATGGTCCTAATTTATTATATTAATCAAATATTTGGTGTTTCGTTTCAGCATTACATCACTAAATTAAGGATTGGAATTCAGCTCTAATATATCTTCAGCTTGCCTCATTTACTCTTCCCGTTTCTCGAGAACTTGATAATATTTCAATCAATATGATTGCTTTACGGGATCATCAGAATTCTACATACTAGAACGCATTCTTTGTTTCGCTCTCCGGAGAGATTCTCCTTTGTGATGGAGCCATAATCGCTGTATAAATTCTATGGGAATCTAACATGTCGTGAAACTCAAGAGGCTTTTTTACATAACGTAAAGAAGATCTTGATAGTCTGGGTGGACTTAGCACGATTACATGGATGATGAACTTGGGATACCCGATAAGTGTCGGACTCCACGTATTGGGGAAGCTGAACACTAATAAGCCAGCCATCAACATAATTGACAAAGACGATTTCTAGAACCCTTCCTAATACTGTCCTCAATAGATAAATTCTACAATTCAGCCTTCTTTCTCTCTTTCAAGTATTGGCCACTCTAGAATTTTTGAGGTTGTTCAAAAGCAATGTGCATCTCGAATTGATACAATTTTACATATGGTATTGGCGTAGCTCTGGACTCCAAGACCCACTGAAACTCTCGTACCCTCAGATATGGCTGGGCACCCCGAAGAAAACGCAAAGCTCCTGTCAAAAGAGCAGGAGTCTGTCTCGCGAAATTCATCTGATTCTATCGCCTCCACTGCTTCGACTACGAGTTTGGTCTTCGATCGAATCGGCGAACGTGTTGCAGCGAATGGATCTGAAAAACCGACGATGGTGACACCCAAATTCCCTCCTCGGGGAGAGATGGCGTATGCGGATGATGAACATACGCAAATACATTTAGATGAGGAAGAGGAGAAGGATTATGATATGGAGGATGGCGCATTTCTTACAAATGGAGCAACGAACAAATCGGTGGACAAGAAATTAAGAAGATTGATATGGATTATCGGGGGAGTGTTCATTGGAGCCTGGGTGCTAGCATTGTTTATATTTTTGGGAAAACAGGCATACAAACATTCATCAGAAAGTCCTCACGATCCACAGGCAACATCTTCTAGGGGAAGCGGGAAGAAGGTTACAATGGATCAGGTTATGGGCGGTCAATGGAGAGCGACTAGACACAGTATAAGTTGGATTGAAGGAGCCAACGGGGAGGATGGATTATTACTCGAACAAGGCTCTGCCGGAAAGGATTATTTGATTGTGGAAGATGTCAGAACACAAAGCCCTTCAGCTGTAGGGACTCTAGACACGATGACTTTGATGAAGAATGGATATTTCGAAGTTGCGGGAAGAAGCTTGACACCAAGCAAAGTATACCCGAGCAAGGATTTGAAGAAAGTTTTGGTCGCCACAGATGTTCAATCAAACTGGAGACATTCCTTTTATGCGAAATATTGGATCTTTGATGTCGAATCTCAAACTGCGGAACCATTAGATCCTGTAGATTTAGATGGCCGTGTTCAATTGGCCAGCTGGAGTCCAAAGAGCGATGCCATCGTTTTCACTCGAGATAACAATATGTACCTTCGAAAACTATCTTCACCAACTGTCGTCCAAATAACCGTGGATGGTGGTCCAGAATTCTTCTACGGTGTACCTGACTGGGTCTATGAAGAGGAGGTATTTGCTGGAGCTAGTGCAACATGGTGGGATGACAGTGGCAAATATATTGCATTCCTTCGTACAAATGAATCCGAGGTACCTGAATACCCAGTTCAATACTTTGTATCAAGACCTAGTGGAAAAGAACCTTTGCCAGGAGAAGAAAATTATCCCGAAGTCAGAGAAATCAAATACCCCAAAGCCGGTGCTCCAAATCCTACCGTCGATCTTTTGTTTTATGATATTTCCAAGGCGGAAGTATTCGAGATCAAAATCGCCGGTGGCTTTGAGCCAAAGGACCTTTTGATTACAGAGGTAGTTTGGGCTGGGTCGACAGGTAAGGCGTTGATCCGCGAGACGAACAGAGAAAGTGACGTCTTGCGAGTTGTTCTCGTGGATGTTGTGGCTCGAGAGGGAAAGACTGTAAGATTCACAGACATTGCAAAACTCGATGGTGGATGGTTTGAAGTATCTGAAGACACTCGCTATATTCCCGCGGATCCTGCAAACGGTCGTCCCCACGATGGATATATTGACACTATCATTCACGAGAACTATGATCATTTGGGATACTTTACACCAATGGATAATCCTGAACCTATACTTCTTACCTCTGGAGACTGGGAGGTAGTAAAGGCGCCTTCTGCTGTTGATCTTAAGAAAAATCTTGTCTATTTCGTTTCTACCAAAGAGTCACCAATTACAAGACAAGTGTATAGCGTCAAACTAGATGGTACGGATATGAAAGCTATCACCGATACTTCGACGGAAGGCTATTATGTTGCTTCATTCTCTAAGGGTGCTGGATATGTACTTCTTGATTACAATGGCCCAAATATTCCGTGGCAAAAAGTTATCAGCACTCCCAGTAACGATAACCAATACACACATGTCATTGAGGAGAACAAAGAACTAGCTGCTATGGCAAAGAAACATGAATTGCCTATACTAATCTACCAGACTGTCACAATTGATGGATTTGAATTGCAAGTCGTTGAACGTCGACCACCACACTTCAACCCAAAGAAGAAGTATCCAGTATTGTTTTATCTTTACGGTGGTCCTGGATCTCAAACTGTTAGCAAGAGCTTTAGCGTTGATTTCGAATCGTACATCGCCTCAAACCTCGGATACATTGTTGTAACTGTCGATGGTCGTGGAACGGGATTCATCGGACGAAAAGCCCGAACCATTATTCGTGGCAACATTGGTCACTATGAAGCACGCGATCAAATTGAGACTGCTAAAATTTGGGCCAGCAAGAAGTATGTCGACGAATCAAGAATGGCTATTTGGGGTTGGTCATATGGTGGTTTTATGACATTGAAGACCTTGGAAGAAGATGCTGGAGAGACGTTTTCTTACGGTATGGCAGTTGCGCCCGTCACCGATTGGCGATTCTACGATTCTATCTATACTGAGCGATATATGCACACACCGCAGCATAATCCCAGCGGATATGATAACACTAGCATCAGTGATGTAGAGTCACTCGCTAAGAATGTTCGATTCTTGATTATGCATGGTGTTGCAGATGACAATGTTCACATGCAAAACACGCTTACTTTGTTGGACAAACTCGACCTTGCTGGTGTGGAAAATTACGATGTACATGTTTTCCCAGACAGCGACCATTCTATCTATTTCCATAACGCGAACAGAATTGTTTATGATAGTAAGTAACTCCTATTGCACTTGATTTATTCAAATGCTAACCACTCCCAGAACTCAACAACTGGCTTATCAATGCATTCAATGGAGAATGGTTACGTACTGCCAACGCTGTACCTTTGGAAATTGACGTAGCAAAAGTTTGAGATATCAAGTAAACGAGGAAGTGAATAATGAGATGAGAGTATCATAGGAGCGCGGCGTTCACACCGGATGGGAACCTTTGAACATAGACATGATATTATAGTTTCATTGGTGTTGAATTACTTTCTCATAAGAAATATTATATCTCTTTTCTCTGGGGCCTGAGCCTATAATCTATCTCTTTTTGGTGTTCTGTATATTGTGATGATAGAAAATGGTAATGACAATGACAAAGTCGAATGAAAACAAAAAAAGAGAAAAAAAAGAGAAAAAAAAAGAACCAGGTTATTTTTATTTGTTCTAAAAAATGTTACAACACATTACTCCAGGGCCTTACCTTTTCTCGATTCGTTTTAATAATGCCGCAAGAAAGCTGATAAATGCCAAGACGAGCGAATAGGGAAACTGTTAGTGAGAGCCAGCTCACTAGAGATACATACCGCCACACACTCACATCGTCAATCAATCATCAAACCGAAAGGAACCAAACGATGAAAGTCTAAGCAACTTGAAACTACCCTTGGGTCGTACGCTCTTGAATTCTACATCCTTGACATGTCGTGGCTGAACATCGCATTGCTGCAATTCACGCATTCGATCGCTTTCGAGATTTTGACGCGTAAGTTCTTCTTGATGTTTTTGGATTTGTTGAGGAAGCTGGTTATTAGTCTCGTGTTTTTTAGGTGCTTGAACTTGAACTTGGGGTTGCGTTGTGGAAATGCGAGGGGAAGTCGGGAGAGATGTTGGTCGCATGTCGTAATGCGCGGGGATTTGAGCGAAGGCTACAGGGCTGAATGTTTCTGTTTGGGGTGAGGGACCTGGAAGAAGATATTCGGATCGCGTGGATGTGGTTGAGGAGGGGGTGGATTCTGGGTCTTGGGTTTCGGGGAAAGATGGTCTTGGAGCTGGGATTTGGAGTCGGAGGGGTGGGGATACGATGGGAGATTTTCCTTGAACTCGACTTGGTGCTGGCGCAACACCAAGTCGTCTAGTCCTAGGATTGTTATTCCATGATAACGGAGGCGAAGTAAATTTTGATCTCTCGGGTCGTGATCTCTCAAGTCCTCGATTCACAGGGGAAGGCCTTTGATTGATTCCAGCCACTAAACACAACGGGAATCCGTTGCGTTGACTCGGTAAATCTTGTCGATTCTTGATTTCTACGCTGTGGCTTCGTGTGGTGTGTTCGAAAAAGAGTTCTTCATCTTGAGCGCGAGTCGAGGTTTCGGAGTCCCAGTTTGGGAGGATCCCGGGAATGGGTTCCTGTGGTGTAGTGGGATGCCATTCGGGGATTTGCATGCACATTTCTTCGAGAATGTCTCGTGTGAGGGCCCTGGTGGGATTGGATGGTTTGTTAAGGTTGTGGCATCGATTGCAGGGGTTCATAGCTGTGATTTGGGTTGTAGTGGGAGTGTGAGCTGGATCCGATCGGTTAGCGCACTTCTCGACGCGAGACGGAGCGGCAACCTTGGAGCAAATTGGGCAAAAGGTGAGGATCAATTGGCACATGATAGAGTAGTACTGAAAGGGTTTTGAATTTTTTGAGGAACGACGTAAACAGAATAGTGTTTAGATAAAGATGTTGATTTCGTGTGTCTAATAGAGTAGTTTGAAGGATACTAGAAAAATAAAGAAGAGAATCCAACGAGGGAATGAAGCGAAATTGTAGGAATAGTGTGCCTATTTGACTTTTATTCGAAGAGTAATGGAAAATTGAAGAAGAGACCCTAGTGGGGAGATAGAGTGTATTGTAGGAACAGTGTCCACCTGTTGAAGCATTGTTCTACCTTACAAAGTCATCAAGTAGACAAGTATCTTGGAGACTTGCGACCTATCATTTCTCTGCGGTGTGAATGACCATTCATCCGAAGACAAAGAAAGTATCCTTTTCTATGTAGTCGTGAGCAAAGTAACAAAGGAAACGAATAGACAATAAAATAGTTATCCCTAAAATAGCACTAGTCCTATAACTGGAACAAGGAAGTCATTGAGCAATGTTCAAATTAAGGTCTTTGTTCTCCAAACGACAAAGAATAGCCCAGCTATATAGTCGAACAACATATCCTGAACAATCCAATTGTAATAACAGCCATTTTACTCAACAGCACTTTCATTACATTCAACAACTTCGATTTTCGGTTCTCAATCTCAGTTACATTTCAAGTCTACCCTGGTGGTAACTTATACACATTTATTTCAATCAACAGCTAAAAACAAAAACAGAAAAACAAACAGGTAAGCCCAAACTCATCTCATCTCCAACTAAAGAGAATCAGTATCTATCAGCATCATGTTCCGGCACTCACACCCAACTCCACCACCCAAAATGCGTTCAAAATTCTACACCAACCCCGAATACCAAAACAAAAAAGCGCCAGCACATCGCCGCACTGGCTGCCTCACATGCGATGAAGGCTACATGTCATATATCCCCCCAGCGCGCGATCCTCATCTCCTCCGCCAGGAATTCCGTCGTCGTCCTTTAAATGCTCCGAAATTAGCACCGCTGTATATACCCGGCTCACTGAACCATAATGATATCGCATCGCTGCGCCCACAGGTTCAGCCGGGACAAGAGGAGTATGCTTTTTTGACGGATTGGCAACAGAAGAAATTAGCGAAGGCGAGGGGGAAACAGGGGGGGTTTAGTGTACCCGAGGAGGATAGGTGGTGGGAAGAAATTTTGTCCAAGAAGGTGTTTTGGAGGGGAATGATAGTTTTTGGTTTGTTATATTGTTTGGTAGGGAGTGGTCCGAGGACAGCTTAAATTAGTATTCTAATATTGAGCTTTGGTCAGGAAGATAGGTTGGTAAGTAGGTCTGTTGTATTTCTCTCTTCTTTTCTCTTTTTCTTTTCAAAATGTTTAATAAGTAATTTTCTTCTTTCCAATAAAGTTTTCTGTGTAGGAGTAGCCATCATAGCTATTTTTAAACCTTTGTTTTATACGTGACAGTGGTATTGGCCCTTTCTGAACAAAGAAATTCAATGCACCATTCTTCCATCAAAAATTAATTCTCTTGATATAAGAACGACGAAATTGGTACCGAAGATATGACTAACGCTTTTATTTAAACTGTCACTTCGGCCAATTGAATCTGCGATAATATGAGGTTTCCATGTCAATTACTCATAACAGTGGTATTGTGAATACCCCTATGAAATTAATTTGATTTCGCTAGTACATCTTCTTGACGATTTTTGATCTTTTTGCATTTAGTTGCCCAATCAGTGTAGACTATGGATAATTATCTGCTAAGTCACGTCAGCGTGACAGGTCCTGTCCATGTTCCCGATTGAAACGATATGAAGAAGCAGTAATTTTTCACACTTGATAATTACCATATAAAATTGCATTCTGTACCTTAGCCTGTGTTCCTAGGTAGTAAAATCGTATATGACCTCACAAAACAAAGCCTAGATAGTTCTAGACATCAATTCTTGCCGGTTAACGATTTGTTAGTGAAATTTCACGCATATCCCTATAATAAGCCAAGTATACTAGTAAGTTACTGAGGCCGCTTAAGTGAGTAATGGATTGATAAAAATCAAAGAGGCGTTGAGTGTATGTATAAAGTGATGGGCCGGGAATTAGTGTGGAATCTTTGAAGCTAAGAACCTTAGTTCGTTTAAGCGAAGGGTCTGTCAGTACAAATTATCGAGCTAAGGCCTTTAGTTCCGAATTAAAGGTATTTAGTTCAATTCTCCCATACGAATCATTGAGTGAAAGGCCTTAGCTCATTTCTTCCAGTACAAATCTTGAAGCTAAAGGCCTTAGTCTCAGGCTTTTAGCGCAACAGCCTTTGGTTGGTTTTCAGAAACATCATGTGACGTAACGACATTGTCTTTCCAACACAAAAGCAAGTGTTCATTTCCACAATAATTTTCAGACAGTTGCCAATGTTGAGCTCTACGATAGCAATGATGGAAAGTTGGCACAGAGTTGTCAAGTGTTGCATAATTATCTTTCTTTGAGAGAATGGGCAAAAATATTGTCCGAAATTGGAGTTCAAGACTGTGGTCCCATAAGCAGCAAAGCGAGTACTAGGAAACGTAATGACAACATATTTAGTTCAGTTGCATATCACAGACGATATCATAAGTTTGGAGTTTACACCCTCTGAAAGTGATAGATGAATACCTTCAGACGATTGAATGCCACAAAACTTCCGGTTCAATTGGTAACTAGAGTAAAGTTCTGGTAAAGCTTTCAAGATCAGATTGTAGTCATCTCATTTTCAAATCAGCCATGACTTATCATTCCAAGGGATTTATCCCGCTCCTCGATACTTTGATCCCGACTACGCATATTGGTCGTTTTTTCACTACTGCTGACCACATACGCATGTGCCGCAAGCCTTAGTACACACCAAAACATTCTCCAACTTTAGGTGAAGATCTGATTGCTTTGCTGAGATCTTTTCCCGCGACTCGGGGCAGTAAATATATACACACGGTTTGGCTTCAACTGATTCATTTGAGACTTGCGAAGCGTGACACAATCCCGAGGCTGATTTGCATACACAGTAAGGCCGAACCAATCATTGCTATTCTAGACTCTCACATGTTCAGTCAAAGGTCCTGCAGTGAATTCATGAGTGTCGCTTTCGCTTCTTTTACATGGATTGCCTACCCTACCACGTCTACGTGCTGCCACGCAAGGATACTCAATTTCAATAGCGACCACTCAAACTACGGGCCATCAGGCTCTGCAATTACTTGTCTTTCTGAAAATGCTTTAGTCGGTCTATTTAGGTCAATAGGATCATTATAGCTTGGTAGTCATGAAGGAACGACCGACATAGGTAATCTTTCTGCGAGGTTTCCGACCTTGCAAAAATATTTGAGTCAAACAGTACTCATCTGATAACTGCGACATTTTTTTCTTTTTTCTTTTTTGTCTTTGGAAATTGGGCAAGTTGAATTACAACATAAGAAGATAAGATAGTTTCGACACTTAATATCACACAGCAAAAACAGAGCAGATTTCTGGGATTGTTTCCCTATGCTAAAGTTGTCTCGATTGATCAACATAGGTCCTTGTGTACAGCATACGAAGTGTTTCCGTTGCCAAGTTCTATCAAAAACCTGGAGATTGTAGGAGATTGATCTTGATTTTTTAATGCTTTCAGATCGTGCTTTCGAGACGGAAGAGTGGCTTAGAACTTCCACTGCCTGTTTGATTCACTTGTATCACCCATTTCCATTAACAGGCGCAGCTTTTACTGAATTTGTTATCCACATTTTGCCCCCCCATTCCTTGAGATTCATTATTTAAATCAAAAGCGCAACCGAGGCTAGACCGTGACCATCAATTAACAATATATTCAAATCGTTTAAAATTATTGAATTTCATTAGAAGATTGAATTATTCTCGAATTTCTAATTGCAAGAGCTTTAAAGGGGTTCTTTCTTATTTATTAGTAATTAGATGGAATATAAGGGTGCGTTCGGATCGATTTATTTCGACTTATTTCAATTATTAATGTAGTTTATTAGTGAGCAGGTTATATTAGCAAACGGATTATCTTATTTTATATATAAAATTCGTTTGTATGTAATCATGCACTTTCTTTATATAATAATATAATTTAAAGAAATCTGAAAATATTGAAATTTAGTTATATAAAAATCATAAAAATCTAATTATTTATTAAAAAATTAAATTATTATAATAGTTATTATAAAAATAACTTTTTTGTAACGAAAATCATAATAATTTCTACTTTTTTTAAAATATAATAGAAATATTTATAAAAAAATTAGATTTGTAAAAAGCTAATTTTTTATTGTTATTGAAAATTCTTTTCTTTTTTCAAAATAATGATTAATTTGTTACAACGGATTAGTAACAGGCTGTAGAATCACTGACTTATAGGCTATAATGGTATTATAGGCCTCAGTGATTCAGCTGCAGTATACCGGGGGACACTAGGCACCCAAGGAAAGCCTCAGGCATGTATATAGTATTAGTTATAGAATACACTGAATCATAGGACATGGTTCCTAGGACAGTAGGGTCCTAAGAAGAATAAGCAATACAGGACACAGTAAGCAAGAGAGGTCTTGCTAGGATTAGTAAGCTCCCAAGGGATTAGCCCTAGGACAGGAAATAAGACAGGACGACAAGACTCACGGGACTAGTATCACGTGATGGACCATCCCATCAGTCCCACCGATTATTATCAATGGGATCAGTGGGATCCCACTACGCCCACTACTCTCAGTGAGTGGGATCGATGGGATCGCAGAGTGCAAAGGTCTATATAAGGGAAAGGGTTTCTTTACATGTAGAGCTTCGTGCTCAAGAACAATCATTAGTTTCATTACTATAGTTACGAGAATTGCAACCAGTTACAACCTTATTGAATTCCTACTTGAAGTCTAGTCTAAACCACCTCGAGAGATCTCTAGACACTTCCACGTGACCCTAGAGGCAGCTCCCGTAACATAATTATTAAAATAAGAATATTAAAAAAGGCCTAATTTTAGTGTATTTTCAAGTGACCTGTGTTACGGGAGCTGCCTTTAGGTTATATGGAAATGGCTAGAGATCTCTTGAGGTGGTTTAGATTAGACTTTAAGTAGGAAATCAATAAGGTTGTAATTGATTATAATTCTTATAATTATAATAATGAAACTAATGATTATTCTTGAGTATAAAGCTTTATATGTAAAGAAACCCTTTTCCTTATATAGACCTTTACATTTTGCTATTCTATCGATTCCATTTATTAAGAGTAGTGGGAGTAATGGGATTCTATTAATCCTATTGATAATAATTGGTGGGATTAATGGGACAATTCATTATATGATATTAGTCCTATGAGTCTCGTCGTTCTATCTTATTTCCTGTTCTAGGGTTAATCCCTTAGGAGCTTATTAATCCTAGCAAGATCTTTCTTACTTATTGTATTCTATATTACTTATTCTTTTTAGGACCTTATTGTCCTAAGTGTTACAACGGATTAGTAACAGCGGCCGAATCGTGAGCATTTATGCTATGGTAGTAATATAGATACTAGAGATTCAACTGCAAGATACCACGGGGGTCTAGACAGCCTAAGAAGCCTCAGGCTCTGGGCCAATATTAGTCATAAGGAAACCTAAATCAACAAGATGTAAGCTCTAGAACAATGTGTTCTAGGAGGAATAGAAATAAGGAACGGAAATAGGCCTGGCTAGGATTAATAATATTTTAGGGGATTAGCCCCAGGACAAAAGGGTAACCAGGAGAATAGGAGTCTAGGGACAAGTGTTATGTGACTCAAAGCCGATCGACTTATCGATCGACTTTTCAATTGACTTGTTGGTTGACTTCAGGACGAAGGTCTATATAGAGAATGAGTTTTATTACAATGTAGAGCTTCATGCTCAAGAACAATTATTAGTTTCATTACTATAGTTACGAGAATTGTAACCAATTACAACCTTATTGAATTACTATTTGAAGTTTAATCTAAACCATTTCGAGAGAACTCTAGCCATTTCCACGTAATCCTAGAGGCAGCTCCCGTAACACTAAGAATTATATCCTATGATTCAATGTATTTTATAACTAATACTATATATATGCCTAAAACATCCTTAAGTGCCTAATATCCCCTGGTATACTGTAGTTGAATTACCAAGGCCTATAATACTTATATAAATTTAAAAATCGATATTTTAAAGCTCTAGATTTTAATATAGAAAATTCCTAAAAATCTGAAATTTTTAAGGTAAACTAAAAATGATCTAAATTATATATAACGTAACGTATGGGGAACT